CCTAATAAGTAATTCTAGCCCTACTATTTAGAAAAATTTATAAATTAACGACGATTACTCAAAAATTATTAATTGAGTTAAGCTCATAAAATTTTCACAAATGATTTATAATATTAGAGGTTCGGGACCTATTTAAATTTGTATGATCGAAGAAGTAGTTTTGGTAGCTGTCATACAATTTCAAAGTTACTTGGCTATATCTCAGAAATTATTGAAGCTATAATATTGAAATGTCGCACAAGCAAATATATTATTGTAGCTGTAATAAGTTTGTGCGGCTATTACAGAGTTGAGATGATCAAATATGTATACATATATATTATTTTAAACATTAATGAGAAAGCAACCAATTTAGTTCCAAATGGAAGTATTTAAGACATGACCTTTAGAACTTTGATCAGTTTCTTGAATTTTCTAAAACAAAAATAAATTGGTAACTATTATGACATTAAAAAAAAAATTTTGAGCAATTTTAATTACCATTACCAATATTACCATTATTAGGCTGTCTACTTACGCACGATTCTTTGCGTAGCGTATATTTTGCCATTTTTTAATTTGTTTTTTATGTTTTTTTAACTTTATTGTATAAGAATTAGAAATAATTCTACAACATTTGAAATAATAAAAATTATAAATATTTATAAATTCTTTTTTTACAATTTCTAATCAAATGTCACCTACATTTCAATTTCATAATAAAAAAGAAACACTTAAAAAACATTACAAAATTCTATTATACTTGTAATCATTGAAATTATCAAATAAATTTTTATTTACTTTAATAAGAAATTGTGTAAACAAAAATTAAAATAAACAGTTTCCCTGTGTTCGAAATTTAATTTTTTTTTCATATAACCTTTATTGTCATTTGAAAATTTATTTACCCTAAAAATTACAGGTAAATTGCATATACATAAAAGCCAACAAATGTTGTACATAGGAAGAGAAAACAAAGAGAACCAATTTTATTCGTTGTCTTCGTAAAAAATTTTTTTGTTTCTTTTTTTAATATTCGTTGACATATGGACAGAATGGAAATAGTAAACTAACATTATAAAGCAATTGAGTTCAATTGAGTTAAGTTCAAATATAAATATAAAAACTATTAATATTTTCTTTATTCTGGACATTAACAACATAAGATATTAAATGAAAAAACAAAAACTATTCATGTACATAAATACCCACAGTATGCCTTTATAACTTGTATTCTAGGCTAGCTTATGAAAACAAAAGTATATAGTTTGTTTATCGCGTACAAAATATCTTATTTAAAATTTTATATTCATTTCAAATTCTATTCTTATGAGCAATAAGCATTAAATAAAGAGCAAGACTAAGAGTGTTGCCATTTAGAATATAAGAAAAAAGAAGGTTATTTTTTAATAGGAGGTTATTTAAATATTCATTTGATTCATCCATATTTTTGGTATAGTTTATTTTGTTATAAGACTCATATGGGATTAAAGAATGTTTGCATATGATTTAAGAAGAGAAACGTTCCACACAATTTTGAGACTCAATAACTATTTATTTTTTCCTTCCATTTATTTAGTTTTCCTTGAAAAACTTATAAAAATATTGACAAAAGAAAATGTCAATAGAAATTATAATTGGTAGGTAGCTTTTAGGAAATTTCTTTTGACATTATCTGAATTGGTTGGGTGAATATAACCAAACAAATATAATATAATTGAAAGGTTAATAGGAAATTCTTTCAATTTATGTATTTAAAGAAATATGCTAACAAAAATATTCTAAATTAGTATAGATGGTTTAAAGATTATTACAAATATATGGAGGACGGGGGATAAGGGTTCTAAATAAAATTAATATTATTGATTTAATAAAAGAAAATTTTGTTTATTTAAGTATAATTTTAAAAATTAATTAACATAATATTTTGGGATTAAATTAATTCTTGTTAAGTAAAATTACATTTGAAACAATTCACTTTGTTAATTTGGGTTCAACAAGTTTGTTGATTATTAAGTTCTCTGCAACTAAAGTTAAAAAATAAATTAATTTTGTTTATAAATTTTTTGTTATGATACCATCAAGCGCTTATAATTACATTGCGTACAGGTTAGTCTAATAAATGATGAAAACACATCGACGTTATATTAGATGAAAACACTGAAAACGTACCACTGGTTGATTCATTAATAGCCATTTAATCACATAAAGAAAATTTAAAAAATAAAGAAATAAAAAATATTGAAGATTTTTCATAGTAAAGTGTTTGTAACCCTGATTTCAAGTCTGCTTTCAAAAATATTCTGTGAAACTTCAAAATTTTTTTTATAAAATGAAAGTATGAAAAAGAAACTGTTGGGTAAATAGAGATTTTGTGAAATTTACTTAAAATTTTTTAATCTCATAAACTGTTGACCATTTTAAATGCCCTAAACTAAGATCTTTAAACCTTTAAATTAAATTTTTGAAATGTATACTGATTTTTAGCACTTTTGACCTTAGAAATATCGAATAACCAGCCATACCTTCAAATTTTTAAACAATTTATAATAATTTATTTGAGAAACTACTAATTCTATTATTTACACTTGACCATAATACAAAATGAGTTAATTGAGTTTGAATAAATTTTATATTATATTTGTATTTCGAATACCTTGGCAGTATTGATTTTTGCTATAGCAAACACAATATATTTTGTTCTTTTTACATAAGTAGGACAATTGCACAACATTTTGCCTTGAGAAAAAAAAATTCTTTTTAAAACCAAAATATTCTAGTCATATAAAATATTAAAATTTAATTTATCATAATTCAGTATTTAATTAAAAATTATTATATATGTATAAAATTTCGTAATTTTATAATTACGTAATCAGTTTTTAAGTAACATTAATTAAAAATTTAAAAATATATTACATAATTTCGGTTCAAAAGAACTTAAAGTTAATTTTTTGATTGAAGAAAAGTGAATTAATTACTTTTTGTCGTATAGATTATTTCTAGAAATTTGTATTAAAAGATACGCAATATCGCTGGAAAATAAAAATTTTTAATATATGTACATCGAAACTTTTTTGCAATTTAAGAATAAAGCAAATCTTTATAGTTTTTGCGGATATGAATTTTGACATATTGGAGTTGTAACGCTAAAAAACAATGTGTTAAAAGAATTCACACAACATACGCAAAATACAATTGGTGTTTCGGAGCGAATTTTTCCTTAAATATAATCAATTTTCAAATAATTTTATTTTCAAAACATTTATTCATTTTTTATAAATATTTATTCATCACAACATTTCAAAAGAGTTTGGTTTCAATATGGGTTAAAGTTAATGAGCGTAATTAACCTTTTATAACATACCCGCTTTACATTTAATGACAGAACTCAAAGAGTGTCCGCCCAGAAAGCGGTTGGTTGCTGGTTCGTGTCCAATTCGAGGAAATTTTTTAATAAATTTTTCTACCTTGACTCGTTTCTTTGATTACGTCATCCATCTGTTCTGCAGTTGTGTGAAGAAATTTCCATTAGTTATTCGTATAAGAATCAATAATAAAAAAATTAAAGTGTTGGTAATTAGTAATACCACAGAACCTTATAATTTGATGACTTAAAAATAGTATAACAGTTTATACTAAGGCCATATGCAAAAGGCTGTATTTAATGAATTATTATTAAAATTTTTAAGTAAATTCTAAAAACCAAAATTGTTGATCCTTATCAATAATCTCGCTGATTGATCTGCAAAATATATTCGGACATTTTTATTTTTTGTTGCAATTACTTGAATTTCGCTTTTTTTTTTAACTTTTAATAGTTCTTATGATGTTATTACAATTCTTTATTAAATTTTTTTTCATTTTGATTACTTTTTAAGCAGCAACGTTACAACCTACACTCCCAAAATGTATTTAGAATGTTTCTTTGTGTTATTCTACTTCTTATACTTCTATAATATTTCAACTGCTTTAGAAAATTAAAAAAATTTTTTTTAAGAAAAAAAAAAAGAAACAAAAATCTGCCGCCAATCAATATTTGATCAGAGACCGTATAATTAAAATTTTTTGACCCTTACAAAATAACTTTATTTTTATAATAAAATTTTATTATTAATTTTGAAAAAAAAATAAAATTTTTGAATTCTTTTAAATAAAAATTCAATAACGAACCGAACCCTGTACAAAAATGAATCGAACAAGCTGTCAGCCATTTTTTTTTATTAAATTTTTTTTTATTATTTTACCATATGTACGGCTAACCTAACAATATTTTCTTATAGGTAAATTGCTGTTTTTTTTTTTAATTTTTCCTCTTGTTTTTTTAATAATTCGTTTCGCGGCATTTCCTGTTCAACGACAACATCAACGCAATAACAAATAAATATATGGAAAAAAAGCAATAAGCGATCAGCGAAAAAGAAAAAAATTAAAATTTTTTTAATAAAAAAACCAAAATCGAATGGACGTCGAATCGACAGTTGTGTTCTTTTCATTATGGCCTTTTTTTTTGTTTTGCTTTTTATTATTATTTTAAATGTCAGGGGATTGGTTTGTTATTACAGAATTTTTGATGTTATTTTTTTTATCATAATTTTTTATCTTGTTTTTATTTTTATCTTCTTATTAAATTCTTTTTTATGTTTTATAAAAACGAAAAAACAAAGAAAAACATAAAAATTCGAAAAAGAAACATTTGTATCTTAAGACATGAAAATATATAGGTACACATGGGTGTAATTATGTTAAATTATAATGGACCTGAACAAAAAATAAAAAAAAATATAAAAAATTATAAAATTTTGAATATTAAGAATTTTTTATACAAAGAATGTGATGTGAAAAATGTTGAATTTTATAAAATTTTGATTATATTTAAATAATCGAATCGATATATACTTACAAAATCGATTGTTAAAATGTTAACATAATGGAAAATATTATTCGGCCCTATACAATAATATTAACTTTATTAATACTAAAATATTAACTTTATTTTTTTTTCTGTTTTCTAATTTTAGGTGAATATATTCGATTACCATTACAATTGGATGATTTTCTTCAAGACGTTTTGCAGTTAGCTGAACTTGCATCTGATAGCCAAGAAGTAAGATAATTTAGAATTAAAATTAAAAATATTTCGGAAAAACATTTTATTAAAGTTTCTTACCCATTTTGATAGAATTATTTAAGTAAATTAATTTATTTAGTGGTTCATCAACAAAAGCATAAAATGAACAATCTTTTTTAAATTTCAAGTTCACAATAGAAGAAAATTAAATAATTTAATTAACATTTTCAATATTATATTGAAATTAAATTATTTGTAGCAAAAAACTAATTCTTATTTATGTCTCAATTAAATATTTGGTGATTTGCAAATTAAGGAGTACTATTTGTACTTTTTAATTGGCGAATCACAAAATATTTACTGCAGGTTTCAAAATTAAAACCAATAAGGTTGGATTTTAAAAATAAATATTTTTATATTCAAGTTGTTTGCTTAATAATCATAATAAATGGTTCAAATTTTTAGCAGAAAAAATAATTTTGGGATTTGACATAAAAGAAAAATTCAGAAATTCTAATATTTTTTGCTAAATTCAAAATTTTTAAAATATTTATAATTTTTCTAAAATTTTGAAAATAAGAACTGCGCCACCAAATGAGTGTGAGGCTATTATGAACAATCTAATTAAGTTAGTTTTCAAAAATTTTAAATAGTAATAATTTAATAAAATTGATAAATTACAAACAAATTTTCTAGAATGTATTAAAAATGAATTTTTTATATACATACATATGTACATTTTCATTTAATTAAAGGCGCACATGTAATCACAACATTTTCGAAGTATTTATGATATTTCTACTGAAATTCTTTTTATATTTATTAATTATAATTAATTATGTTTTTAAGTTATAAAACAATTTTCCAACCATTGAAAATTAATGACAATTTAAAATAATAACTATTTATCAATTTTGCACAAGGTTTTCCTTATAGTAGTTTTGTATGATATGCAAGTTTAACATAATATATAAATACTTGTTCAACATATAAATATTTTTTCAATATAGAAAATTCAAAAAAACAACGAACTTTGTATTTTGTTTTTCGTTAAAATTATTCTTTTTCTTTATTTATTTAATAGGAAAATAAACGAATTCAAGAGTCTGTTTCAACATCTATTACTACTGATTTAAAAGACGAAACATCTGAGAATTTATTGTTAGCATCAGAAGAAAAAGTTGAAGAAACTTTAGTGACAACAAGTACTTCTGATATTGTTGACGACGCTAATAGTAATTTATCATCTGATGGTGATTTAAAAACTCAAAAATCAACCGATAAATCACCAGATACACCAAATTCGGAACAATCTTTACCATCACCCTTATTTGATTTTGATGATGCAAATGAATTAGAAGAAGAATTCGATATGATGATACAATCAGCAGCAGGACCATTTGGTCATCATCAACCGCCACCACATCATAGGGCATCAACAACAGCGCATCATCAATCTGCTTATGGTACAGCTATGACAAATAGTGCATTTAGGCAATCGGCTGGATTTCATCATCACCATCATCATCATCATCATCAGGTTTGTAAAAATCTATGCACACTTCAAAAATAAATTTTTTTTTAATTAAAGAAATCAAAAACGCGAAATTATAAGAATTAAAATCGTCTGCATATGCTAAACAAAGTGCTGAACGCTGTCAAACATTTGCTATGACTTTGAATTTATATTAGATAAGTTTCTATCAAAGTAGTTGCATTTTAAAAACGTTAAAATGGTTTTAAATCTTACATTTTTAATTGTGTTTCTACATTCTTTAACTCTGCCAGTTATTTCTATATACATTTTTGTCAATTCGGATGGTGTTTTAGTTTCTTACATTTATGATTTAAAATTAATGATTGTCTCTTGGTTTAATATCGATCTCAAAATGTTTGATGCACTTAAAAAGAATAACCATAGGATACACACTATATATAGTATACAATAATTCTACAATTTTATATATGCAATCAAATAATAACAAAATGGTATACATTCATGTATGTACTCTTTATATTTAATATCAGGAGAATTAAAATTAAATAAATTTTGAAAAAAAAATGCTCTGAGTACTCTTACGTCTGTGATTAAGTGTTTTCTTTTCAATAAAAATAATAAAAAAAAACTGAATAAAAAATACAAAAATTCCTCTCAACGGTTCACGAAATAATTTTTTTTAGTAAGTTTTGATTATCCATGCATATCTACATAAACAAAATATTATGAAGGTGTATAAAGGTATAAGGCATAAAGGTGTATAAACAAAACCATTTTTTTTTTGCTCTACTCAGTATATATAGGTACTTTAGGTTAGAATTAATGTCTGCATTGATGACACCATTCATCGATTGTAGACAAAAAAAAATTTTTTCTGAACCTAGTCCAAAAACTTAGTCCTACTCAAAATGTCAAGTATCGTCATAGATCACTTCAAAATGTATTCATTTTACGTCTTCAAATTTTTTTTTTTTGCTTTCTGCCTCACTTTTGATGAATTCCAGAATTAAATTTTCCAGTATTTTATAATATTATCGAACTAAAATGATGGTGAGTCAGAAAAAATAAAAAATGTTGTTTGCCTTGAAAATAAATTTTATTATAATTATTTAAAGAAAAAATTCTTTTATTAAAAAAATAAATATGTTTGAGTTATTAAAATATTAAATAAATATAGTTTCTTATATTTCGTTTGAAATTGTTTTTAATTGATAATAAATGTTACTATTATAATTTTATTTTGTCAACATTATTCAGTAGGACATTGGTTTTGGGTCTATAATTTAAGTCGAAATTTTTTCATTGAATCATAACCTCCAAACATAAATTAATAAGTAAAAAAATATATTAGCAATACATATATCGTGGTACTTACTCCTCATAGCTCTTAAAGAATTTTTTATGAATTTTCAATACTCTCTTACATTGAGATAGCAACAGCTGTGATAGCAAAAGTAGATTTAATTCTCAAATTTGTTGAATTCTTGCAATTTAATTCGCAAATTACTTGATAAGGAGAGTGTTAATTAAATTTACGTTGTTTTGCATTTCAAGTCTTTTAAAATAGGTAAAATAGGTAAAAATAAGCTTTTTCTGTTATTAAGTAGTTTGCGTTCTTATAAACTGTTATAAATATAAGAGTAAACAAGCTTCAATTAAGTGTGCTTTGTTATTAGATATTTAAGTATCAATTGTTATTTTAGTTCATTTCTTTCCAATGCGAAACTTTAAAGATTTTAAGTGATTTAGAATTTGAAAAATAAACTGTAAGAACCAGGAAGCCTAATAAAATATCTAAGCTTTAACAATCAGTAAAAATGTAAAATTTTAAGATTTTAAAATTTTGAACTTATGTATATATATGCATAATTTGTACATGATAAACCAAAAATAACACAGTCTATTAAGTAATTTATTAAATCCAAAATTACTTCGTTATCTTGTTTAGCCTCCACGACTACAGTTCTATGTGCGACTCATATACATTTTATGTTTATAATATTTTTATTTACTTTTAACCCTCAAAATTAATAAAAATTAAAAGAGGAACGAACATTTTTTTTTAAGGTGCACAAAATAAAACAAAAGGATTTGAAAGTAAACATTTATTACGGGGGTGTGAATAGTTCTAACCATATTTACCCAAAAAAAAAAAAAAAAAAACAATAATTTCTTGACATTTCTTTCTACTTAAACTAACAACTAGTTTTTTTCATTTTAAATTGCAGAACTATTCCTTCTTTTGTAAGTCAGTTTGTTTTTAAGAAACTATACAGGAAAGGTAAAATCAGGTAGCAATAACTTTTCACCGCAATATTTATTTTACTCTTTATTGAGGTTCCAAAATAAATTCCTATAATTCTTAAAAATTTCCAGTTAAATTCAATATGAAAACACAAAAAAGGTAAAGGTGAAAAAAAGGATATAAGAGAAAATCATCAGTTAAATGATGTATTTTAGCAGTTATAGAAGTTATAATTGTACTGAAAGGTTAGAATTTCGATATGTTTTATGTTCGTTTTAGGTTTTAACTTTAATTTATGGTGTAATTTGAAGAGATTAAGAGATTTATCACTAAAAAATATATGAAGACCTCAAATATTTCTTAAATTAAAACAACATAATGCAAGCGGAAGTTTTGATAGGACCATAATATTATTATATTTTTAAGTGTACAGAAACAAATTAAACTAACAAGAATGTAAAATCTATTCCTACTAAAGCATGAGAACATTATCTAAGAAATCAGATCAAAATGAAGGACCTCTTGAAAAAAATATTTCATTTTTATTATTTTTTTAGTGATATTAAAAATAAAAATTCAACTGGATTTAGTTTTTAATTTGTTAAATTTAACCTTCATTACGATTAGTGATCCAGAATGAATTTTGTTATTGTTGTTAGCTCAGAAATTTATTTACATTGAAAAACATTACGATGTTACAATTTTACTCAAACAAAGTCTGAAAATTTTTAATTTTTGGGTTTTAACTCCTTCGCGCACACAAATATAATATTTTGTTGACAGTGCAAAATTCATAGGAGGCGCATTTTTCAACTCCAAGCTAGTATTAGATCAAAAGTTTCGTATAGCGCAGCTCTTTGTTATGATTTCTATAAAGAAATATGGTTGGGTTTATGTTCAAAAATGGTTGCAAGAACATGAATGGGGTCGGTACTGTAGTTTTTCCACATCCACGCGGATTATTTTAGTTTTATCACTAATCTAGGGAATTAAATGACCTTTAGCCGAAATACGTCACTTATTTTAAAGCACATCAGGAGATTCTGGAGATATTTTTGTTATGCATTTTGTAACAATAGACAATGGACATCCAGGAAGCTATTTTTCCATGAAATTACCAAAATTTTTATGTTAAATGGAAAGGAAATGCTGCTTTTAGCTAACGACAAGGAAAATGTAGCTAAAATATAATCTTAGGAAACCGAAAAGACTATTATCAATTTAGTCTAGAGAGTTCATAGCCAACCTGGCAACAGTTCAGATTGGGCTTTAGTCATTGGGGAACCATACTGATGTATCGAAATTAGAAGTCTTAGATTTAAATTGATTTCTTAACAAAACTAGATAGCTTAGATAGTTAGATAGGAAACCTGCAATGGAATGGTCAGTAACGAACGAACGGTCGCGGAATGAGCAAAATGACATGTATTGAATCTAATTTTTTGAAAAGATACGGTTTTAACATAAAGTATTCGTATAATTTTAATTAAAATTATATGATTTAATAGCTAAAGAAATTTATTTAGAAAGTAAATAATATTAAATATCGCATGTAATTCCTTTAAAAATAATAAATGGTGACCTTTTTACAAAAAAAAAATTGTTTAATTTTGCTCTTATATGCACTATGCATATAAAATGCAATTAAAAAATTATTCGCCTTTTAAATAATAATTAACATTTGAACTTTCTAAAATTGATTGCTACCTTAATTAATTTTAAATTTAGCCTTTTTTTTCCTTCTCTTAATAATATTATTTAATATCATTATGAAAATAATTATTAATTAAATTATTAGAAATTAAAATTCTTTTTTAAATCCTGTTTCCTTTCGCTACTCATTTTTTTTTTCTTCTTTCTAATTTTCTTTACTTTTACGGAAAATACGCTTATAAAAGAAAGCACTGTAAATAAAACACTAATGACCTTATGCATATGTGCGCAATATATAAAAATGTATGTACGTGTAAAAGTGTGCAAGAAAGTACAATGAAAGAAAGATGAACACCTCTTTTCTTGTTTCTTTCTTAAAAAAAAATCTTTAATTACTTTTATATTAATTTTATAAAAACAAATAATTTTTTATTCGCTGTAATAATAATCTTCCTTGAGGTAAAGCCGCAAAAATTTATTAATTATAAAGAAAAAGAAAAATCAAATTAAACTTCAATAAAAATGATTTGCGAGCACAAAAAGTCCAACATTATTTCACATACTCTCGTAAATGCACTTGAATATTTTTTTTAAAATAATTTCTCATGTCTACACAAAATCTATATATACATATAAGTGTTGTAGAATTTTTATACACCACGCCAGTTGTTAGGAAAGTAAAAACAGTAATAATGTTTTGATCACATATTGGTGAATTTCTATTATTACAAAAAAAAAGCAGAAAAAAAGGGAAATAATATGATAGAGAGAGAAAAACAAATAATTTAGAGAAAACAAAAAATTGTTGTTATTTTTGTTGTTGTATTTGCTACTTGTACGAATAATAATTATAATTATTTAATAAAGTTTTGCTAATTACTAATTAATTGCATTATTTTTACTGTAAAAAAAGCATAAATGAATTAAACATTGCAGTGATATTATAAATTACCCTTGCACTTGGTATTACTGTGATGTTTTATTTTTTGTTTTTCTTAAATAGAAAAGGAAATAGAAAATAATTTATTTTAGCATTTCTATTAACAAACAAAAAATATAGTAGTGATTTGACATTGGGCAATCCTTATTTCTCTAATTTAATTTTTTGATTAAGAAATTTGGGTATGTTTCCTTATTGCTTATT